GACTATTCTATACAACGCAGTGTGGGAGGCCGACGTCTGAGGGACGACAGTGCCTGCTGATCTATATGGGACACCGGATGGACTACTCTATACAACGCAGTGTGGGAGGCCGATGTTTGAGGGACAACAGTGCCTGCTGATCTATACAGGACACAGGACGGACTATTCTATACAACACAGTGTGGGAGGCTGATTCCTGAGGAATGACAGTGCCTGCTGATCTGTATGGGACACTGGACTTTTGGTGCTTAACAAATATAATTGCTTATACATAAAAAAGGGGGGAACGAATCTCTGCTTATTTGTAAATGGTTCAACTCAAAGTTGCTCAACCTTGGCACTACTGACATTTGGGGCTGAATAATTCTTTGTTGGAATAATTCTATGCATTGTAGGATGCTTAGCAGAATCCCTGGCTTCTGCCCATCAGATGTCAGTAGTACCCTCATCTCAACTGTGAGAACCAAAAAGGTTTCTAAACGTTGTCAAACGACCCCTGGGGACAAAACTACCTCTGCTTGAAAACCACTGGTCTAACTGATACACTTAAGTTTGTATGTATTTTTAGTAAGACAGAAGCCTATTTAATTAACTCTAAGTTAATTAACCCTATTACATTAACCACTGTCTTACAGATAATTTACAGTGCTTCAAAGTAAAAACTGGGACATTACTGAATGAAATGCAGGCACTAAGAATAAAATATCTCTTTATAAACGCCTTAATTCCAAACTACTGTTCTCAGAAAATTATGATGACCCAAACTCCAAACAGCCCATATAAGAGCTGACTGCACAAGGCCTCTATCTCTTTCCGCCTATCAATTCTTTCCACATACCTGATGTACCCTCTTTCACCAACTGATAGCCAACTCCCAAAGCTAACGAACTCCTATAGATGGTTTATCATCTTCCTTTAGAGAAATTATGCTTGATAATTTTCTTCTAAAATGTAACTAACACAATACCTCAAGATAACCAGAAAGAATTTTAGTCACGATTTATACAGTAAGGTTACTCATATCAACTCAAAATTAAGACTAGGAAACTTGACAATGTCCCTATAAATTTAGCAGTAGAGTTTCTAGGATATTAAGATAGTTTATTTTCACAAACTCCTTTCGTAAGTCTGCACTGTTACTGCACCACCCTACCATCTTCATCAACAGTTAGGTCCACAACTTCCGCTGCGCTCTGCCTCAAGGGCTGTATGACAGTGGAAATCCTGCTGCGGCTCCGCGGCTCCTGGGGCCGACTGGCATGAGAACTGGAACCTTGGCTCCAGTGAGATCTGGAGTGTCCAAGGGTTGAACGAGACCTGAAATGACATCAATATTAAAAGAACAAAATTTTAGTCACCCAAAAAATCATAAGCCTTTCTTACAAAATACGTTCTTCATGCAAGACTCCTCCAAAGAAATAGTGGTAACAGAATTAAAAACTACAACTAAAACAATGCCTGGCATTCGATAAACGTTTGTTGAATGAATGAATCACCACCAACAGACCTAAAAATACAAGAAATACTATGTTAGACCAACAGACAATTCTGTCTCAAGAACAGCATTCTCTTCAATGGTCATTTCAAATATCCACCTGGTTACAATCAATTAGTTACATTTTACATTAATACCTAAAACTATTCACCATGCGTAAAGTAGTAAAAATACCAACAGCCAGTGCATTTAATAAAGTCCACACGATCCTGCATGTATAGCCCAGGCTGGAGTTGCAAAGCATGTTTTTGGGCGTCTTAAACCAAGCTAAGTTTCTGGTACTGTCCTAAAAGAGATACAAAGAAATAAGAAAGCACAAGAGAGATTTCCTGGGGTTAGGAGGGGTAAAGATAGTGTGGTTAGATTACTAGTTTAGTACTTTCAAGAAACACCTCTTAGTTGAATCGCTCTATGCTTTTAAAGCCTGTAACCACAAATCCTCAACACCTAACATTTTTATCATCTTTTAACCATGCGTGTGGCATTCTACTATTCTAAATTACTTATAAGAGTCCCTGAAGGGTACAAACAGTGAATGTGCTCGGCTGCTAACCAAAAGGTTGGAAGTTCGAGTCTACCTAGACATGCATCAAAAGGAGGCCTGGTGATCTACTTCTGAAAAATCAGCCACTGAAAACCCTATGGAACACAGTTCTACTCTGACACATGTGGGGTCACTATGAGTCGGAGTCAACTCAACAGCAACTGGTTTGTTTAAAGTACTTACAGATGTTTAATCTAAAAAAAAAATTTTTTAGGAGTTCACTGTGGTGATCTGGACTGAGGGTATACAGGGATAGTAACTAGAATATGTACACAGAAAAGCTCTAGGAGAAAAAATAAATCTGTTTTAGAAGGCTGGGGCCAATAAAACACAAGGGCTGACAAAGTTTGTTTTCGTTTTTTTCTGTCCTGTCCAAATGAACGTAAAACTGCTTATGAGCTTATTTTTGTTAGACGTGTGGAGGGTGAGCCAGCCCCACTGACATGCTAGGTCACCAGGGGTGTGAACTTTGAACAGTGCACATTCAAAGTTCAAACTGGCCTCAGCAATAATAGAGTGTAAGAGTTTAGAAAGGACTTCAAATTCTAAAAAGAAATTTGCAAGAAACAGGAGTATAAAGGTTAATTCCTGAGAGACTGCAAAAAAATAACAGTGCATACCAGCAAGAGCTGTATAGCCTGAAGTATGATGGCAAACAAATGTTTCAGGATAAAATGGCTCTGAATGAGGAGAGAAGATCAGCACTTAAAATCCTGGAGGCACCAAGAGTCTGTGATGAGACTGAGAAGTCTATTATCTCTGGCAAGCTGTTAATAGCTGAAGAAAGTTCCAGGCCTACTTTGCAGTGCTTTCAGAAAGCTTCACAGTATGTCCTAACTCCAAATATTCTGCTGGATGGAGCAGCAGCAAACAACTCGATGGAGGAGGAGCAGCCCCACAGAGGTGTTAGTGGCCCTGTGCCTTAACGGCAACTGTCAAATCTCAACACAAATGCATCCGAAACACACATGTACCCTCTCTTAAAGACAAAAGGCCAACACTGGCCAAACAGTGATAAAATTAATAGTCCAGGTAACAATAAGAGAAATAACAACTATAGGCCATGAGTAGTGTGGGTCTTTTACCTCACTAGGGTAAATGCATCTGCTTAACATCACACATCTCCACACCAAAAAGCTCTCCAGTCTCACAAGGAAAAGCAGGTTCTTAACTTCAGTGGTCCTTTTAGCTCATAAAAACGGAGTCAGTGTTGTGCCAGACACTACGCACAGGCACAAGGTAACTGTGGCACGTATCTTGAAAGTATCAATTTTACTCCAAGATTTTGGGGAAAATCATTAAAAATTAAAAAATAAACAAGGATATATTATAGAGGAGATGGTAAAACTGAAAGACTTTTTAAGATAAAACATGAGATGATAAAGAAATTTCCTGAACCCAGAGGGCCAATGTGAATCTAGGCCCCTGACCTCCAGAGCATTCGTGTGCTCTCTTCCACGTCAGTAAAAGAGCACTCGGTAGACAAACAGCAAGGAGAGAAGCATGTTCTAAGGACATCTGCAATGTGCTTCAGAAATGTGTCTTTATTTTTTAATCAAGAACAACATATTCAAATGCAATGAACATTTCTAAATTCATTCCAACATACAAATGATGATTCATCAATTTGGTCTACCAAAATGTAACAGCAGCTCTTCACCAGTCCCTGTAATGCCTCGAAAGACAAATGAACACAGTGTTAGGAACTGGTTTTGGTTTTGGTTTGCTTTTGTTCTGCGGGGGAGGGTATCTAAGGGGTTCTGCCAAAGGGCAATGCACTTCCCAGGTATTTATGAAAACAGAAATAAATGAAGGTTTTTCATCCATGTATCAGTACAGGGCTTAGGTGAAATTACTGATTTAAAAAAATTTAAAAAATGTTGCATATTAGGCTGCCCCAACATAATAGCACAAAGTTCACTGGAATCAATGAGTAAGATCTTTAAACAGTGGATTATAACAAAAAGAACTATTTCAATATCAATAACCCTTAACATTTTTCTTCACTTTTAATTATAATACCACCCCCCAAAATTATGTATTATTTGCATCTGAATTTCAAAGGAGTTTATGAATTCTGTGTATCATAAAACAAATTCAATTCTGTAAAACACTAAGTAAATTTATTGTGTACTTAGAACAATGATTCTTAACTCTCAGTGGACAGGTAGAGTGGTTTAAGAACATACTGACACCCAAGATTCCCGTGCAGCTACTCTGGGCAGGGTCCAGGCAACACTCCATCTTTATGAGCTCACAGGTGAGTCACATATAGCCTGGTCTGAAAACCACTACTCTACACAGATGCCTACTCCAACTAGGTCTCAAAAAAAAAAGGTAAGAGAATGCAAATATCTGCAGCACAAATATGTTTAAATATTTATATTTAAAACTTCAAATATTCAACTAGGAATTAAAATCTCACCGATAGCTTTCACCAACTGTTACAATCTCCACTTCACTGTCAGTTGAGGTAACATTAATTTCTTCATTGGCAGCAACCTGAGGAGTGGAGGAAGCTTCTATCACCACAACATCTTCATCAATACTTCCTGGGTGGGAAAAAAAACACTTAAAGGGCATCCGCCTGTCAGCCAATTGCTAGGCAAAGGTTTTTATTTTGAAGTTGAAACACTGAAATTCATTATAAAAGTCCTATCTGTCAAAATGAAAAAGGTTTTTTGAAAGCAAAGGGCTGAACACACATAGTGAAAATGGTACTCAGTGTTTTGATCTGCATTCTTTGCATGTTTACATCCTCGTTCATGAGTTTTGTTTGTTCTTTACAAACTTTTGGTGGTTTCCGTAAGAATATGTGTGATCTTATATAAAGACCTGGAGCCCTGGAGGCACAGTGGTTAAGAGCTTGGCTGCTAACCAAAAAAAGGTTCACAGTTTGAATCCCCAGCCACCCCTTGGAAACCCTAGTTTTACTCTGCCCTATAGGATCGCTATGAGTCGGAATCAACTCGACAGCAATGGGTCGGGTTTTATAAAAGACCTTAACGTTGTAATATCTAAAGGTATTTTGGATAAGATATTAATTCTTTAATATCTAAGATAAAAATATTATATTTGCTGTATATGTTTCTTCCAAGGTTCTTTTTATTTAGATGATATTCCTTTAAGAAACACACAGCAGCTTTTTAGTTTTAAGTTATGAAATCTGTCATTTTTTTGTGCCTGTTCTTGACAAAATTATAGTAAAAGTTTAGAAAGTCCTTCCTTATCTGGAGGACTGTTGTTGTTAGGTGCCTTCAAGTCAATTCCGACTCATAGCAACCCTCTGTACAACAGAACGAAACACTGCCCCGTCCTGCACCATCTTCACAATTGTTGCTGTTTAAGCCCATTGTTACAGCCACTAGGTCAATTCATCTCGTCCAGGATCTTCCTCTTTTTCACTGACCCTCTACCTTACCAAGCACGATGTCCTTCTCCAGGGACTGGTCCCTCCTGATAACATGTCCAAAGGACACGAGACAAAGTCTCGCCATCCTCACTTCCAAGGAACGCTCTGGCTGTACTTCTTCCAAGACAGACTTGTTCCTTCTTCTGGCAGTCCATGGTATATTCAATGTTATTCACCAACACCATAATTCAAAGGCATCAATTCTTCTCTGGTCTTCCTTACTCATTGTCCAGCTTTTGCACGCATATGAGGCAATTAAAAACATCATGGCTTGGGCCAGGCACACTTTAGTCCTCAAAGTGACATCTTTCAACACTTTAAAGAGGTCTTTTGCAGCAGATCTGCCCAATGCAATACCGTTGTTTGATTTCCTGACTGCTGCTTCCATGGGCGTTGGTTGTGGAATTTGGAGAACGGATACAGATTAAATTATATTTAGTCCAAAGTGCCTTTTTAATTAGCTCACTTCACCTAGAACTAATTTTGGTTAATGACGTAAGATTATAAACACAATCCTGTCCCACTCCCCCAGCTAACTAGCTACCACCAGATCATTTACTAAAAAATTATTTCTTTTCTCCATTTTGAAGTCATCTATTTAGCTCCTTTGATGTAAATAAATTCTTACGTTGCGGTAATTTTCTTCTAACAGCTTTTCTGAGGTACACTTTAAAAATCACCAATTTTACCTGTATAATCCACTGATTTTTATTAAATTTATAGTGTTACTATCAACAAATCCAGTTTTAGAATATTTCCAGCACTCCTAAAGGAACCCAAATGCCCTGTTTCAGTCAATCTTCATCATCCCTCCATCCCTGTGATCACCGATCTATACTTGCTGTCATACAAACCCACAAGATACTCTCTGACACTCTGAAGAGCAGAACAAAGCAGGCACTACTAAATAATGGAGACAATACAAGACAACCTGACTTGGAGAAACGAAGTTATGTTTTTGAACACTTCATAATGTTGTATTTATAATTTAGAATATTTGCAAATTGTTATATTAAACAGAAGAAAATTAAGATTTATTAAAAATTATGGGATGTGCAAATTGTTGAAGTAGTTCCTAAATCTTAAAGATCACACACATAGACAGACTGAAGTAGAATGCATTTTTAACAGTACAACTATACCTTACAGGCAGAGAAAACAGGGAAATAGTGCTCGAGTGGCTATTTAAAATAACATTCTAGATTCAATTTCCAAATTGCTTTTACAACTCCTGTTTCACACAATGTACATAACGCAGCAAGGTAGAAGCAGCAAGGGAACCTTGAGATATTAACCCTGCCAATGATTCATTTTGCAGACATGTTATTTGTTGTCAATTAATTTAAATTATTACATCTAGAATTAGCTAATGGTTCTAGAAGTACATATAAAGCTAAAAGCATTATATATGTAAATAAAAAGCCACTGGTTTTTAAGAATCTTCCTTTAGTTTAACCCAACAACTGGACGTTACCATTCTCCATGGAGGAAAAGTTCACCTACATATCAAGTTTATTTAATTAGCGATTTCTTTCTGTGTGTGCGTATGAAATTTCTTTAAAAGCCTACAAAAAAAAAAAAACTTCATATTATCAAACACCTTTTACACAGCTAGGCAAAGCTAAATGCCAGTGTAACATTTTGGAGCCCCAATGATAAATGTTATAAAGCTAGCTTTGCTAATGCATTAAAACTCAATTTATAGAACTTTTTTTTATAGATGTGCTGTAATTTTTTTAATTGCGGTAAATACATCTGTAACAGAACACTCGCCATGCCAACATCCTTCACACGTACAACTCGGTAACACCATGTTCATCATGTTGTGCAACCATCACCATTATCCGTTTCCAAATTTTTCCATCTATATTACTTTTTTATGAACACAGAGACTGTGTAACTCAAGGTTATATACATAGCTCACTTAGGCACTCTTATTCCATTGCTTAAGCATCATTATTTTTCTAAAAAGGACTTTTATAAACAGTCCTTAAAACAATCACAAAAGGCAAGATTTCAGCATCTACAATCTGGTGTTTTCTCTAGTAAGACAATTATTTAAAACAAAATTAAGGAGAAAAAAAAGGAAACACTCCTAAAATTATGAAGTTAACCTTGGTACACTTAAAAAAAAATCAGAAGACTAGGTGACTTTTTATTGTGCCAATTTTATCTTCATGTTTTCTTTTACATGTAGAAATATTAAAGGATAAGGAACTTGACTACTGCTAATACATTTGAGTGGTGGGACTGTAGGTGATTTTCTTTTAACTATTTCCTTTAAAGTTACTTAGTTGTTTGTACATTTTAAAGCATCATGAGAAAAATAATATGTAACAGATGCATCTCTGTCCACAGCCTGGAAAGAATGTGTGTAATGTAACAAAGGTTAAAAAAAAGAAAAAAGAAAAAAAAAAGGGTCACTCTGAGAGAGTTCTTCACAAACTCCTCAAAATACAACTAGATTCCTTGCTAAGAGCTGACAGACTTTCTTGGCAGCAGCTCTAAGCAATGTCAGTCACTGTAATCACTGATTCTCTTGATCTCTCTGTGCCTCAGGTCTGGGATGTTGCTGATAGTAGGGACACTTCCAATCTGTGAGTATATACTTGGTGCCACGTGCAGTATCTTGCATTTCTAGTCGTATTTTACACATCAAGAAACTCGAATTTAGAGAGTGTAAATGACTTGTCAGGCAAACGGTAAACAAGACTTGGGATTCAGACCTAATTCCAATGCCAAAACTCATATTCTTAATATTAACTACATCCCACTGTCATAATCCCTCAACACATTAGTGCTAGCTGCTATCAAAAGCACCTTCCTCTGCTTGAATAAATCCTCTATGCTTAAAAAAAAGAAAAAGCACCTTCCTGCTAGCAATTGCTTTTGCTGCTAACTCCAATCTTTTGTGGTCACAATTAAAGCTGTTAAAATTACAGTAATTCTGACTACTTTGGGACTCTTATGTTGGGTATCTATCCAACAGAAATTAAAACATATATCCACGTAGATATTTGTACATGAATGTTCATTGGCAGCATTATTCATAATAGCCAAATACCGGAAACAATTCAAATGTCTATTAACTGGTGAACAGATAAACAAAAGGTGGCATACCCACACAATGGAAAACTAAAAAGCACTAAGTAATAAAAAGGAACTAACAACTAACTGCTACAACATGGATGAGCCTCAAAAACATGCTAAATGAAAGAAGCCACATGCAAATAACCACATATTATATGATTCCATTTATATGAAATGTTCAGAAAAGGTAAATCTGTAACAAATAGCAAGCAGATTAGGGTTTGCCTGGGACTGAAGGTGGGAAGAGGGAGTAACTGCAAACAGGCAGGAGGGATCTTCTAGGATTGACAGATCTTTCAGGACTGTGGTGATGGTTACACAACTCTAAATTTACTAAAAATCATTTAATTGTACACTAATGAACTTTATAGCATTTTACACTACATCTAAATGAAACTGTTTAAAAAAAGTCTATAAAACACTCCCTGAAAGACACGAAACTAAACCTCAACAAATGAAAAGACATTCCATGTTCTGGAATATGAAGACTCAAAATCATAAAGACGTCAGTTCTGCCTAGGTTGATCTACAAATGCAATTCCAACAAAAACACCATCATGTGTCTCCCCACTACCACTACCCTAAGACCAACAAGTCGATTATAAAGTTCATTCAGAAGAACAAACAAGCAAGAATGCCAGGAGAACCTGAGACTAGATAATTAAGAGTGTGCTTCCAGTGCATGGACAGATGGCCCAATGGGAAAGAATAAACACTCCAGAAACAGACCCAAATGCACGTGGAAATTTAATAGATGAGAATGTGGCATCTAAAGTCAACATGAAAAAAACAAGATTGGCTTAATAACTGGTTTTGTTGGGACAACTGGATAGCCATAAAAAAATAAAATCAGATCAATTTTTCATAATGTAGAACAAAATAAATACCAAATGGATCCCAGTTCTAAACATAAGAAAAATAATTTAAACAACACAAGGGTTAGGGGAAAACAGGTTAACTCCTCCACAGTGTTGGACTGGTAAAATTTCCCCAACTACGATCCAAAATCCAGAAGCATTAAGGATAAAGGCTGATAAGTAAGACAACATCAAAAAATGTTTTGGAATGGTAAAAAGTATAATAGGATTGGAAATAAAATAATTTAAGTAAAATGTAAATTTATTAATAGTAATTTGATTTGGAAGGTCACATTTAGATTGTTATTTATTAGTTTCTAAGTATACAACCCATTGTTTTTTTCCTGCTTTAATAACTGCACTGATAAATCTGATAAATCTGGAATTTACCCTAAAAACCTCTGCCTATTCCCCATTCCAGAGTCCCCAGGTGGTGCAGACATTAAGGTGCTCGGCTACTAACTGAAAAGGTGGAGGCTGGAGTCCACCCAGAGGTACTTTGGTAGAAAGGCCTGGTGATCTACTTTCAAAAAGCCAGCCACTGAAACCTTACGGAGCACAGTTCCCTTCTAACACACGTGGGGTCGCCATGAGTCAGAACTGACTCAACAGCAACTGGTACTAGTATTCCCCATTCCCTTACACTTTCAAAAGAAATTAACCTTTTCCCTCAGTGCAGACTTAGATCCTCAATGCTCACTTCATCAACTTCCTTTAAATTGCAACTGTAAAAATGATGCATTAACTTAGGATGCTTTGTAGATATGGGATATTTTCTATTTTAGGGACTGTCTGTGCATAACCTTATTCTAGTTAAATACAGCATTTACTGTGTGTGTATGCTTGTATGTATGTGAACGAGAAAGAATGAATGAATAAATGAGAGTCTTCCCCTATCATTTCAATTTTAACTGATGAATCGTATGCTCTACTGAGCACTGTCAGGACTAAGTTCATGTGACCTAATGTTAGAATAAAACTTACCTCTCAAATACCAACAAGAATATAGTACTTAAAGGAAAAATTACACTAAGCAGTCTTTTTAGTAAATGGAATTATTCTTACTGTGGCTGAATGTGAAAGAAATCTGTTATATAGCTGCTATCTGAAAAAGTATTCATAGAAGAAGCACAACAGGAAAAAAACTGTGCACCACAAATCAACAACTCACATAAAATATAATCCAATATACACAAAGACACACAAATGACTCTTCTCAGAAAAAAAAAAAAATCTAAGATTATTTTTGTCTCTAAGTTTTTATCTTAGAATCGAAACCATGGTTTAATACTTCAGTTGGTAATTTACTTATATGGCTTAAAAATAAAAGTTAATAGAGTCTGATATTCCTTCTAAATACTACAAATCACTAAATCACAGAAGAAAATAAGCACAGATACAACGCAACAGCTTCCATGTTTCACTCAATTTAAGAAACGGGTTTGTTTTACCTGAGGGAACAGCGGGATTGTTTTGGTGGTTCTCACTGGTAGAAACAAACAGATCTTCCTCTCCTTCAGTGGAGGAGCTGGAAGAAGCCTCACTACTGAGGTCATTCTCACTGGAACTACTAGAAGTGGGGAGCAGGGCATACTTCCTCCGGGCCAGCACCTCTCGCTTCTTCCTCTGCATTAAGATCCTCTCTCTCTGTTTCTGTGTCCTCTGTGAGGAACTAGTTTTCACAAATCTCTTTCTGCACGGAAGTCTCCTTAATGAACTGCTATGAAAACAGGGTCTTTTCATTAACAATCCTGATACAGATTCTGTCTCAGTCCGAGGCCACTTTTGGGACCGTGCACTGTGAGTTCTACTTTTAGCACTCAAAACTGCCTGGGAATGTCTTCCTGAGACTTCCCTGTCCTCATCCGAAGTCACAGTATCAGAATCTCCAAAATGCAGACTAGACGAAGGGGAGGAGAGACAATCACTAAAGGAGGAATCATTCTCTTCCTCACTTGGTGTTTGCAGGTGCTGTCGCAATCCTAATATTCCCTGGTTGTCTTTAACACAATTCTGCACGTACGAAGGGCCAGCCTGCTGGCCTTTGCGTTTTTTCCTTACAACAACGCTTTTCTCTGGCTCAGGGTGGTTACCATTCATGTCCTTCTCTTGTTTTTGAGAATCATCACACAAGTGAGTGAATTCATTCCCCACTTTACTATTAATCATCTCAACTTCTGCAGGAAAACGTTTGGCTGCCCCGATGGGCTCTGGATGCAAGAGGATCCCTTTCAGACTCTCCGGTGTCTTTGGCGCATCAGAAGGAATCTCACTCTTCATATCCACTTTTAAGGTAGAAAGCTCGCTATATACAGGAGTCCATTGAGACATGGGAAACTTCAAGGAAGGCCTAGAAGACACAATTAGATATTTAAAAAAAAATTAGTGTGTTTTACTATACTATTTAATTGAAGAGTTCCCAGGTCGCACTGAGAACATCCCTTGTAATAAGGCAGAATTGCCTTTTCCTCATCAACGTAGAAAATGGCTGTAATGAGTCATCTTGCTGTTTTTATAAACATTTTTCTCTGATACCTCTACTCATGTACCAAATTTCTTAGAAACATAATAAGAATCGCAAACTAGAAGCCTATGTGAAAACTTCTATCAACCACAATCTGATCTTACTGTGCATCTTGTTACCTACAGCAACACACTGGTACAAAGTCAAACAATTTCTTCAAAACCTGTTACAATAAAAATAGATACAAGGATTAGAAGCCAAAAGACTGATTAGTCAACAATATGTTTTTTTTTTCCAGTATCACATTTTAAAGTGATAATTATTAAATATTTTCCGTACATCTAGATGGTTACTATGTTGGACTGATTACTATAAAAAATGAACTAGTATAAATATCGCTTCTCTTGCCCAACGTTCCTTCCTTCGTACTAGAGTTCACTTAGTTCTGAGACTCTGAATTCTCCTGACAGACAGCAGACACAACTACTGTAACTCAGCTGTAGACACGGAAGAATAAGCCAACGCTGTGAAGTGGCGAAGATCACTCAGTTGAATGAGCAGCACAGCTAACACAGAATCAACCTTCTGACACTAATCTAAGTGTATTTAAATCACTGAATCCCTGAAATCATGAGCTGCTGAACAAGGAGACTTGGAACTAAAGCATCTGTATAGCGAGAATGGTGACAAGGTAAAGGTAGAAAATATCATGACTCAAAATGGAATACAGTCACTAGAAAGGTAGTTAATGTGACAAATTGAGAGCTTTACTAGTGCAGAATACGAACATCTAAGCAATGTCAATCAACGTCTTTAACATAAATTTGTACTGAAGCATTACATACACACATATTCTAAGCACACAGCTTGATGAATTCTCACAAAGGGAACATACCAATGCAACAAGCACCCAGATTTAAAAAAAAGAGAAAAACCGTAACCAGAACCCCAGAAATCCTCTCCAGTCACTAACATCCCACCAAGGAAAAGGACTGTGATCACCACACTAACCTCTAACACCATGGATGTGTTTTGCCTTTAACATATATTTTTAAACCACTTCCTAAAAAGAGAGAAAAAAGGATACATATTTAGTAGCAAGTTTTTTCTATATATATTATTAACAGTGACACACAAGAATATACAATGTCACAGGTCTCCTACTGTATTTTAGTATATAATTTTATTATCAGAAAAAAATGACAGTAATTTAGAAACTGAAGTCCACTCCCATAGAAGGCTATCAAAACACCTATCTTCTATTACATCACTGTTTGCCTAGACTAGGGATGCTCGGGGAACTGGGAAGTGATGGATAAAGAGTATGAGGTTTCTTTCTGGTGAGGAGAAAATGTTTTAAAATTGTCTTCGTAATGGTTGCACAACTCGGGAAATATGCTAAAAACCATCAAATTGTATACTTTAAATGGGTGAATTGTACGGTATGTAAATTATAGCTCAATAATGCTTTGCAAAAAAAAGGGCAAGAGGGAAAGTACCACCAAGATTTCTGGGTATCAGATAACTATGGACCCATCAGTATCAGAAGAATCATGTCATTAGGAAAGATGGGAGATTCTTCCAGAAGCCCATGTTTCCCGTAAGTTGTGCTGAGTTAGATCTCTGAGGAAACAGTCTACTTGCTGAAGAAAAACTCTGTTTTAGAACTCTCATCCTTAATTACTGAGTCACCCTCTCAGGCTTGATAATGGAGATCCTGAGAGGCAATGAGAACTTGCCAAAAGGACAGATAAATTCTGAAAACATGGATCCATAAACAAATTAACAAGGGAGTGATTCATAACATAATTTACCAAACCCAATTTCTCTGTCATCAGTTTATGCCTCCAAGCCAAAACAATGAACTCTTTATGGTTAGATCTGCTCTGGTTTTGGTCAGTAAAGTCCAATGAAGCAGAGAGTGAGCAGGAGGAGGGGAGGGATGATGGTGGGATGAAGTGAGGTGGTGTGTGTGTGTGTTTGTACACCAATCACTCTTAGCCAAGTGACTGTGTCATGCGGTTGGTAAATGCAAACTTAACACCCCAAATTAACTGGCATGTTCCCACAAAGGGAGTACAAACTCATACTCTATTTTGAAATGAGAAAAAGAGGGAGTTCACAAAAAGAAGAACAAAGGGAGACACTTGGCAATTCATCAAAATAAATACCAGAACTACATTTTTTAAACTAAAAAAGCAGCAAAAATGACACAAAGGATCAAAAAAGAATGTTCTCGGCTATCTGCTCTTGATAAAATAAAATCATAATCTAGTCTTTTATTTTTAGAAAAATTACCGGCTGACCTAAGTTATAAATGAAGCTAGTATGTACTAGGATACAGCTATCTCTTTTGCCACATTATGATTAGTTTGCTATTATACATTCTTTCAGTAGTGAAACCACATTACTCTTCCCTCTGTGGTTCAGTTCAGTTATTTTGTTGCTATGTCATGATGATGCATTCCAGTTACTCCTGATATTGATGTAGGCATCACCACTATTGGTAAACCTTGCATTAAGAAAACATGATAGCTAAAAATTGCTAATTTCCAAAACTTAACAAAAATTAAGTTAGCATTTGGTAGTTATATTATAGAATAAGCTTGGGTGAGCATAAGAGGAGGGGGCACATTTTAAGTCTTGTTGTCTACATAGAGTTTTCTTTTTCCCCCACTCTGATGATTCCCTGAAAGTGTTTGCAATCAACCACAGGTCCGAATATTTCAACAAAAAGTTTGTCTCTCCAGTACACAATACAGGGAAAACTAGCACAACTTGTACAAGGAAAGGTCATGGAAGCCCCATAGACACATCCAAACTCCCTGAGGGACTGAACTGCTGGGCGGAGGGCTGTGGGGACCATGGTCTCGGGGAACATCTAGCTCAATTGGCATGACACAGCTTATAAAAACAATGCTCTACATTCTACCTTGGTGAGTAGTGTCTGGGGTCTTAAAAGCCTGTGAGCGGCCATCTGAGATACTCCACTGGTCTCATCCCTTCGGGAGCAAGGGAGAATGAAGAGAACAGGATACAAGGAAAAGATTAGTCCAAAGGACTAACTGTCCACAGCTACCAAAGCCTCCACCAGACTGAGTCCAGTACAGCTAGATGGTGCCCGGCTACCACCACTGACTGCTCTGACCAGGATCACAACAGAGGGTTCTGGACAGAGCTGGAGAAGGATGTAGAGCATAATTCTAACTCACAGAAAAAAAGACCAGATTTACTGGTCTAAAGGAGACTGGAGAAACCCCGAGAGTATGGCCCCCAGACATCCTTTTACCTCAGTGAAGTTACCTCCGAGGTTCACCGTTCAGCCTGGTAGTGGACAGCCCCGTAAAACCAAATGAGACTAACGAGGTACAGCAGTCCAGTGACAAGGGCCAGAAGGCAGAAGGGGACAAGGAAGCTGGTGATAGGGAACCCAAGGTTGAGTAAGGATAGTGTTGATGTGTTGTGAGATTGTTAACCATTGTCATAGGGCAACATTTGTAGTAACTGTTAAATGAGAAACTATTTTGTTCTGTAAGCTTTCATCTTAAGTGAGAATAACAGCACAATTGGGAAAAAAAAGTTTGTCTCTCTAACGGTTCTAAAAGAGGTTAAGTACACATATTATGTCATCAGGGCAGAGAAGAAAATGGGATAACGCAAAGGGGTAGTAAGAAACTTACAAAAAAAATCACAGAAGGTAAGGAATTGCATTTGTTAGATCAACTGTTTCAGGGGGTTATTATGTTAAGTACCAGGGACAACAAGATTTCTCACACTGATCAGCATACAAACACTTTAAAAGCAAAACACGGAAGAATCCCACAGTACCTACTCTCAAAGAAGCAACAGATTGAGAAGAGACAAATACAGATTGCTGTGTGCCAGAGGAAAGACACTGCAAGGATACCTACCTGGATACCTACCTGGATCAGGAAGAACAAGAGGCACGAAAGGAGTAAGGGTGCATTGCAGGTGGGGACAGATGAGGGGAAAGGCAGGCCATTCTAAAATGTTATTCTCATGTTATTCTGAGGACAATGGGCACACCTTGAAGATCTTAAACAGGAAACCAACATGACCACAGCTGATCACACAGTAGTGTGAAGAATGGACTGAAGGGAGTCAAAACTGGAGGCAGAAAACCCAGTTTAGAGGCTGCTGCTATATAAGGTGAAGAAATACAGAGACAGACAGTATGGGACTCGCAACTGGAATAGGGAAAGCATAAAATCCAGAGATAATGAAGAGATAGAACCACCATGACTTTGTTAACCTTTACAGAGGAACTATCTACGGCTACCATCCTAGTTCAAACTCTCATCATCTTTTGCCTATACTACTACTGGCAACCGACTCCTCATTGGTTTTCTTTCTTCCAACAATCCATTTCTATAGAGTAATCAGGGTAGACCCTAAGAATGTAAATCATATCACAACCTGTTCAAAATCCCCCAGTAGTTTCCAAATGTGCACAAAATAAAAATGCAAACGCTTTACCACAGCTCACAGACCCTTAATGATCGCATGCCCCTGTCTGTCCCTCTTCCTGCCTCACCTCCTTATTCACTGGCCTTCTTTCTCTTCCCTGTGCCTGGAATGCTTTTCCCAAAGATCCATGAAAGGTTACCTAGCTTCTGCTCACCATTCAGGTCTTGGCTTAAATGTCACTTTCTTGGAAAGGTTTTCCCTGAAGGCTCTGTGGCAGCCATAATAACTTGTCTTGCAGACTCCTAACTACCAGCAACTTAACTGACCAAGGGCCCCTGATGCTGGGCTCTGAAATCCATCACTGTGTTTGCCCAAAGTCACTTACCACTCTCTGCTCCCAGCCATGTCTGAACGTGGTAAGGATACTAAAATAGGCCTGTCCCTTGGAGACACAGGACTCCTTCAATAGCTGATTTGGCTCTAAACCCAAAACCAAACCCAGTGCCATCGAGTTGATTCCGACTAATAGTGATCCTGTAGGACACAGCAGAACGCCCCATAGGGCTTCCAAGAAGCAGCTGGTGGATTCGAACTGCAGACCTTTTGGTTAGCAGTCATAGCTTGCCATAGCTCTTAACCACTATGCCACCAGGGCTCTAGGACTCTTTTTTTTTTTTTCCGAATATTTTATTGTGCTTTAGGTGAAAGTTTACAGAGCAAACTAGCTTCCCATTCAATAATTCATACACAAGTTGTTTTGGGACATTGACTGCAATCCCCACAATGTGTCAGCACAGTCCCCTTTCCCATCCCGGGTTCCCCCGTATCCATTCATCTGGTTTTCCTGCCCCTTCCTGCCTTCTCATCTTTGCTTTTGGGCAGGTGTTGCCCATTTGGTCTCATATAATTGATTATTCTAAGGAGCATGTTCCTCACGGGTGTTCTGTTTTATAGGCCTGTCTGATATTTGGCTGAAAGGCCTTCCTTTCCTTTCTCTTTCGTGGGGGTTAGACTGGCAATGCCATCTGACGGCTCTCAGTCTTCTCCAGCTCCCTCCCCATTTTCTCTCACAGGCATTTCCTCTAATAAAATCCTAGCACATTTAATTCCATCTTGACATCTGCTTCTCAGAGGAACCAGACTAACACACATTCCATTTAAAGAACCATCCTCTCTTCCCCCATCACTCAATATTACATCCTGTTTTGTTTTGTTTTTAGATAATAAATGCCACAAACTGTAAGGATCTTATTAGCCTCTTTATTATGTAAGTTCCCTCATAAGAATGCAAGTTCCATGAAAGCAGGAGCCTTGTCTCTTCCCATTCACTGCTTGATCTCTAGCAACTAAAGCAGACGCCTGGCACAGAGTGATTTCTAAGAGTTGAGCTGCAACTGTGTGTGAAATACCCCAGTGTCTAGGAGACAGTGTCTTGATGGAAATGAGACACAAACAACGTGGGAGCAGTCTGTGGTCATGGAATTCTCTCTATTAGAGCTGTGCTCTAGAGGTAGAATATCTAGGTTCAAATCCACTTACTAGCTATAGTCCTTAGCCTCTAAATCTCATTTTTCTGACCTAAAAATAAGAATAGTAGTAATGACAAAATTAGGTTATAATCTAAGATTTCTTGAG